ACTTTTGCATACACGCTTGAAAGATTTTGGGAAAAAAAAAAGGAACTGTCTTGGATTTACTTATGATTTCATGTTGATGCTATCATTGTTCAGTTGTCGAGGACCGTTTTAGTGAGACTTCTAGTTCTAGTTTTAATTTTTTTATTTTGAGTTTTGATTTTCCCGGACGCACGTTACTGTCGAATTTTACATGCATTCGTAGCAGAGTTATTAATAATTTTTTTGGGGACCAGCAGCTGCTTTTGCCAAATAAAGTAGCAAATTTTTTACAACTCTTCTTCTGACCCTCCCAATCCCTGGCATTTTGTTTTGCGTTCACTCAATAACTAACCGAATTTAACAATTTTCATTCTGCACATTATCTTCAAATTGGGCGTTTTCAGTTTTTGTCGTTCCATTCCGTCTCTAAGATTCATAAACTTGAATGAGTTTTCATCCTGCGGTTATGATGAACTAAATCGGCGCAGTATTGCAAAAAATACATGTTTGACCCTAAGACAGATTTTTGAATCACCATATCTCAGTGTCTTTCCATATCCTTGCATCATTGTTCTTTGTTGTTGCTTTTGGATACCCGATTTTCATGTTGAACTCATGAGAACACTTGTGTCAATTCTACGTTGGTTTGAAAAAAAAAAAAAAAAACACATGGAACCATCATGATTAAACGCCTTAGAGGACCTACATAAGAAAATTAATTTTACTGATTTGTAAAACCCAGCAAAGCACTAGTTAATTTTTCTTTATGGGTCCACGTTGTTAAGAGAATCAAAAAACAACGTTGATTTATTAACCACTTCTGGTTTCGCACATTGCTGAAGGTAGTCCACACAAGTAAAAATTAGAGGTTCACACCATTCAGTGGAAATAGATATAGGAAAAGCGTTTTTCTGAAGACCGATCGCTTTTGCAAAAATAAAAATTATCCACATTATTCCTAATTTAATTTTCAGCAAAGAGGTTAGCAATCCTTGTAACCGATCATCCAGAAGCAGCACCAGTTGTCGCAGCACCCGCAGAGACAGCCGTTGTCGAAATAGCGCATTAGTCGAGGTGTGGTGCAATTGTTGTCTGAGCTGCAATAGACGTACGGTAATCTTGAAGCGACAGTATGGTGGGCAAGAGGGTTTGGGAGGACGCCAGTAACGTTGCGGACAACGCCGC